AAAAACCTGAGATGGACAGGACTGGAAAATCTTTTGATTAGCCACAATGATGCTTCAACAATGGTTTTTATTTTTATTGTTTAAAAAACAAACCAACACACCCCACCCAACCCCCCAAAACACATGGAGATACACTGACCACAAAAGGGAGGAAAACCACAATCAAGTCAAAGCCATCCTCCAGAACCTCACTGCCTTGTCAATATAACAAGTCCCTTTCCTTTCAGAACTTCAGAGTTTCTGCTGCATCTCAGCCACCACCTCCTTGAGCTTCAGAGAGCAACATGAGGTTTTCGGACTCCTTGCACTACTGAACGCTTCTATCTTTTCATAAGACAGCTTCATTTTCTCTCTCAAAGAGCATGAGAGCTATTTTCTTCACAGTAACGGACTGTTACTGCTGCCAGAGGGAAGCTAAGAGAGCTCGAAAAAGAAAACAGCAGACAACATCATTGTCAAAAGAAGAGGAAGTGGCCAAAAGGTACAGCTAGTGTAAAAGAAGCCACTGTGAAATGGCTTTGGCACATGGGTACACCTGCAATCCAAACAAAGGGAGCTTCATGCAGTTGATATTTTTGCAACAATGCCTTTCAGCAGCTGAGCTGTGCAACTGTCATTGCATGGACTTTTTAATACTTGCATAGCTTCAGAATTAGATGAAAGAAAAGCTGGTAGAGTGGAGTAACGTTGCAGGGTCTTTAATATCCTTCAAAATCTGTTATTACTGTAACGATAGTTTTCCAGTGTCAGCATGATTCTTACATTTTCCAGCTGACCCAGAGGAAAGCACAACAAAAACTCATGGCCTGCCAAGCCTTAATGAGACTGAGTTTAATCACACACTCTTGTATGCTGAGCTCCATGCAGTGAAAATTTTGGGTTAAACAAACAGAAACGTGTTGTGTTAATATTTAAGTATCAATGTAATATAAGAACGAAATCTATTCCAAAGAAAGCAACAGGTAATTCAGATGTTTATTTTCATGAATTACATTTATTTCAGTGAAAGCAATAATAGCCTACATGGTATTTTAGAGAAAACGCAAGAAAAAAGTTACTAATCAAACAAACACATACTGGGATCACACTAAGCTGTCCTGCTCCTCACATGTTAACTGACTGCAGAATAGATTCTGATGGCATTAAAAAAAGCATAGGACAAACAGAAAGAATTGGTTTTTTTATAAAGCAAGAAGCTTCTGCAGAACAATTCATCTGCAGGACTTAACTAAAAGAAGGGTTTGATTTTTTTAATCAGGATTTCTTGCAAAGAACAAAAAGTTAGCCATTCAGTTAAGACTTAATTATTTACTTTTCTACTTCTCAGTAGTTTGTCATCAAGTATTTACACAATTAAAGTCAGTGCAATTATGCAAAGTAGACATGTATTTGTGCACTAGGATGCAGAGTTATAATAATAATAATAATACAACTGTGATGGGTGTTAAGACTCTTCACAGGGTAATACAAAAAAGAAAATGCTTCTAAAATTATGGTTCTCAAATGACTAAAATACAGAATTTTGTTCCATCATTCTGTATATTATAAACAACCATCTTTATGCCTTTTTTTTTTTTTTTACTTACTGTTCACTTCCTTACCTAACAAATTTAGGAAGATAAACTGTTTACCTAGCTACAATCTAACAGGGAGAGATGATGTGAGTACTTAGACTTCTACAGACCATAATGGCAGGACGTTCATATCCTAAGGTGACAAGTTTTTTAGCATTCAGTGAAGCACTGTCTCAAGATGAAAAACAAAAGTCAATCTAAATGTCCAGCCCCAAACTGGAGTCACTGAAGCAATTTTCTTTCCTGTTCTGATTCTGTATCCAAACCATCACCTTCAGAGGTGAAAGACTATAATAGGAGAGGTCTCAGAACAACCTTGAGGTTTAGTGGGAAATTATATCAAGAATACAAAAACTAAGTGTGCTTTTAAGACTGAAAACTTACTCCACAAAAGTTTGCAAATAGGTTCAATCAGTTATATCTTCAGAATGTGTGACATGGGTTGCTTATATCTTCAGCAAAGTAAAATAAAGATATTGTAGCAGCAATGTATGATTGAAAATATATACTTGAAAGCAACATGAATCCCCTGGAGGGATATGCAAAAGATGTTCCAATCAAATTTAAAAAAACCTATGTCTAGGTAACATATGATACACACTTTTAACTAAGAATAGAGAATAACGAGAAAGAATCAGGTAAGAACCACTGAGTAGTGGAAAGATTAATACTGATTTTAGTAATTTTAAGATCCAGTTTGAAGAAAGACTAAAAAAAGTTAAAGGAAAGAGTCTTCGTGGGATGGCATGCACAACAGGAAAGCAGTAAAGTGGTTCCTAGTAACGTTCCAGCAAAACTGCATTAGATGACATTACAAGTTGCAAAGCCAAGCCCTCACAAGGTGAGAAATGCTAGGCTGAAAGTAGTCCACACTAATTTAATTTCTCGTGCAAGTATATTACGATATGTCAATTAAGGCCACATACAAAATTTTTACATGCAAATTTACTGCACAGAGGAGATTGTTGTTCAGAAAATGTTGTTTATTAAATAAACTATTTTCTCATTGTTCAAAAAGAGGCCTTGCAACATGGCAAGTACTCTTCAAACCTTGATGTGCTAACAGATGTTCTCTATTTGCTCCCTAATGCTCATCTATTATGACAAAATGTAACACTATACATCTGTCTCAAAGGAGAGATTTGATTTCCAGCTGAAACACAAGAGATGAATTTTCCATATCATTATGAAATGGAGAGGATAAATACACTTAACCTCTGTTCCCCATCTTCCAATTAAGAGAGTTAAAAGAAATATCTTGGCTTTTGCATTTTGAGAAACCTAGACCCAATTTCTCAGAGAAGTAGCTGGTGCAGCACTTCAGATACAGCTGTGAGTGCTCATAGTTCACAAAGCACAAAGATTTCAAATTCAGCCTTCAGAAATGAGGAAGACTAATTGGTCTGGTTTGAGCTGCTTGCCTAAAACCACAGCTTGCAAGAGGGTAATATACAGATTAGAGCCCAAGTACAGCACAGCCTTTCAAACTGAACAGCCTTAACACACAGACTTCACTTTCTCATCCTGCAATTAATGCCCTTCTTCATTCACTTACAAATGCATCAACAACTATCATCTGTGCCTCCTTCCCTGTACCACCCCTATTCCCAGCACAGCCTTCCCCTGTGAAATTCATGAGGCTGAGGCTGTGCTCCTACAGCAAGGGTGCAATTGAAGTCCACAGCATAGCACATGAACACAGCAGGGTTAAATTGATATTGCCTATACATTCCACACATTTCAAAGCTTTTTATCTTGCAACTATTTAATGCATTGTTTTGTGTAAGTAAATCTTGATTTTCATTAAATAAATGTTATCTGAGACATATCAATGCCTCCGTCTTCCTGAACAATCTGCAGACACAGGAGCACCCTACAACCTCTCCTGCATGCAACAGCTCAACTTTGGAGTATTTGTGCAGACCTAATTCTTAGTTCTTCACCACCTCCCACCTTTGTTGTCCTATTTTTCTTACACTCATGCCCAGGCTATGTGCCTAAATAGCATGACTAAACTTTCTTCCCCTAGTGCCATCCCCCAAATCAAGATCTTGTCTGACTAATATCTGAACTAGAATCTTGCTTCTTCCATAAGCCCTTTGTCTGAAAGAGAGATTTTCTTCAATCACAGTTCTGGTAACTGGACGCTGTTCACCCAAAACAGTCCAAAGCTTCACTCCCAGAAGTAACTGACTATAACGTTGCAGAATTTATAACATGGTTAGTTGTTCTGGGTTTTCGTTTGGTTTTGGTTTAACCACTGTGAAACCCCCCTCCCCAAAAGTTTCCTTAAAAGTCCAAGATGCCTTTTCAGAAGAAAGGGGTCATTATCTATTTTCAAGAGTTACCAGAACTTGGGTTTTTTTTTGTGATAGTGAAAACCAGCACCTTCTCAGAAACACAGGTGAACTCTTCTGGACAAATTATCACTATAGAATATTTCCACGAGAAATATATATATATATATATATATATATATATATATAAAAAATAGACATAATATGGTATTAATTAATTATAAGTATATATCATATTATATATAGAGTACATATATTAATGAGAAGATTATATCTTGCTAAATTATAACAAATTAAATTGTGCCTGACAATTTCAGTTGAAACTCTGGAAGTGACATCTACAATCTTAAAAGTGACATTTTCTTAAAGCAAAATTTGTTATTAAAGGTTGATGTGGGTGGGGGGACAGGTGTGTGGAAATAGCCAGCTCTGCACAAGTAAGGTGTGCCATTAAGCAAACTGAAGATTAACAGTTCTATGAGACTGTTACAAGTTTTAATCTTTCTATTTCACCTTAAAGCTCCATATCCTCCATACCATGAATTCAGCCTCAAGCTACCCGATTCGTAGATTTGTCCAAGACCAAAGACAATCAATTCAGTATCTCAGTCATGAAGCTCTTTCAGGTTTGGTTGTGGGGTTTTTTTTAATAAGACAGAAGTATACTGTTTTACAGAACTTACACTTTGTCTTAGTACAAATGAATAGAAAAAGAGACAAGAGATTTCTTAAATTTTCCAGCTGATTCCAATTACATTCTGTGCATTTAAGCTAAAAGCAAAGGATACTTAAAAATAATATAACCAACTCTGGATGCCATCTTTCATGTTCAACTTTACTTGTTTTTCTGAAGGCCATTTCAGAACCAAAGCAATGCCTAAATCTGATGAAATGACAAATGAAAATAGCTATGATTGAGAAGTCTTTCTACAAAAGAATATTTTAGAGTAGAACTACACAGTATTCTAACACTGATAAGTCTGGAAACCAAAATTTCAGTATAAACATCTTCAATTTTTAGTACATTAAGTATCTCAATAAAGGCTACACAGAATAAGATGTACATAAATACTTCTTTGGGTGTGCATAGTGTTATTTGTTTTTTTCCATTAACATGAACAGGACATACCAGATAAAATAAGTAGTTCAATAATTTCTGCATCTCCCAGATAGGCAGCAGCATGTAAAGGGGTCCTTTTCTCATTATCCTGTGGTAAGAGGGGGGAAAAAAGGTTTTATTTAAAATAAAAGGTATGTTTTAGCATTCTGTATGAGTTATGAAAAAACACTGCATAAAAGTGCATCTTCCAAATATTGTACATTTTATATTTTAGAAAACATAATTACTCTAAAGACCTTAGTCACATTTACCAAGACAAGCATGCTTCTCCCTAAGGAACTCTTAATAACTACATAGTCAACCAGTGTTCTCATGACATACAGATGTTCATCACAGATTAACCCATCAGTAAGATATCGCTTGTCTCCAGAGACAGGAACTTGAGGCTGTCCTACACAGTTAAAAATGTTGTGTCACCTTCATATGCAACAATTAGTGAGAAACATTTTCTGTGGAAAGTTTAAAGTTAGTTTCAGCAGTTATTTTTAAAATAGAAAATAGAGAAGAAGCTGGAGTGAGTATGGGCAAGAATACTGAAATACAGTTTCAACTGTTTCGTTTACTGTAAATAAGCAAAGAGAAGGTAGAGATGCAATTTATCCTGCAGAAAAGACTGGAGGATACAAGTGAGACACAGCACTTTTGATTAGTTCAGGCTGATCTAAGGTCCTTTTGAAGGTACAAGTAAGAGAACATACTTAGCCATACACAATACATACTGATGACTAGTCACTTTTGAAAGACTAGCACAAAATATTTCTCAGCTCTTTCATGATCAGTGCCAATTTCCCTGCACCAGTTTATACCTTAATCAGAAAGTAAGATCAGTTGCACATCACAGTGAGTGATAAAAATGAACAAAAACCAACCAGTTTACTCTCCAAGGGAAGGCCATTGAGGTATCAGAAAAGAGATGGATTATCAGTCAGCATCCCAGCTCTGGCCTAAGCTTTGCTTTGATATCTAGATCTTTTTCAGTAGGGTTTCAAATACACCAGGGTTGAGGGATCACGATTATAAGCAGGGAATTTTAAGTCACAAGACATTTCTATTAATTCAACTGTTGTGTCACAACTATAGTAAAATTAATGCACATTTTAATTTACTTTTTTTATGAAAAGCATTCCTATCCCTTGCCAAAATAACCTTATACAGTGAATCCCTACTTGAGAGCTAGCAGCATGCAAGAAAATGAAAAGTTCACAGCAGGAAAGATCTGATAGTAAAACTAGAGCCGAGACCCAAGAAGCCACTTCTAAAACATGAAAGACAATTTCAGAACTTAGAACATTCAACCCACCCAAGATAACACCACCACACACACAACCCCCTGCCCCAAACAACTTATTCCGTGTTTAGTCCCTGCTCAGAAAATGTCAGTTACACAGTCACCACCTTATCAGTGTTTCCTATCATTTTTTTTTATTACACACAAGTATTTCCAAATTGAGCAACACAAATCTGACACTGATGCACCCAGAATAAGGAATCAATACTACTTGCTTATCACTAACACCACATAATGCCTCACAGTAGCCAATTACTTGCCAGTATATCTTACTTGCATATTAAACATTTATGACAAAAGAGACAGCCCCTGGCACCAAGGACTTGCCATCTAGGGGAAAAAAAAAAAAGAAAAAAAAAAAAAAAA